TCTCTTCGACGGTCGCGAAGAGAAGGTCGGAAACTTCAGGATCGAACCGGCAGGTCTGTTCAGGGGGCGCGGTGAACATCCAAAGCGAGGTTGTCTGAAGGTGCGTATCTCCCCGTATTATTTCATTCCTCGTCGGGACTCACCCTCTCGTTCTTCCATAGTACCGTGTCCAACCTGAGGATGTTACGATCAATATTGGTGGAAATGCTCCCATCCCAGTCCCAAACGTGCCTGGAAAATGGAAAGAAGTCATTCATGATAATACTGTGACATGGCTCGCAACCTGGACCGAGAACGTTAACGGTAACCACAAATATGTCTTTCTGGTGGTCGGCAGTTCTCTCAAGGCTCAAAGCGACATGCTCAAGTTTGAAAAAGCGCGGGAGCTGAAAGCTAGTCATGTTCTGTCGAGTTGCGATGCCTTTCGACTAACAAATCGTACAGGGACATATCGGCCGCATTCGAACGACTTACGACGTTGATCTCAAGTCCACCGTCTTGGCTGATCGTCAGCGTGCGACGGCTCTGTGTTTTATCGATAAACTCGGGCTCCGTGTTGGTGAAGAAGAGCATGACGCTGATGTGGACACAGTGAGCTGCTGCTCCTTGTGCTGTGTACATGTTAGACTCGAAGCGCCAAACTTTGTTGTCTTCGACATTATTGGTGAAGATTCGATTCGGTACTACAATCGAGTCCCCGTCGAGGTTCAAGTTTTCGAGAATATTCGGATATTCAAGGAAAATAAAAGTGACGAGGACCGTTTGTTCGATTACGTGAAGGTAAGCGCACACCGATATCACATGTGGGATTCGGCTTGACCGCTGACCCGTTCTCTTAGAAGGCCGACTTGAACGAATATCTTCAAACCGAGATGAAAGGGCTGACTGCGACAGTTTTCCGCACTTTCAATGCGTCATCGACTCTGCAACGATTGCTGGATGAGAACGACCTGAGGAGTGCGAACCTTCAAGAAAAACTGAACGCGTATAACAAAGCCAGCCACGAGGTCGCCATCCTTTGTAACCATCGAAGAGCCGTTCCCCCTTCCAGGACTCATGCGCAAGCCACGGAGCAGAATAAGGTAGGTGTTAGGTCTCAATCTCGTTGCGGATTTGATTTTGATGCTGCGGGACAGCTTCGGAGTCTGAAGTACGACCGCATGCAACTTCGCCGTACACTCTTTAAGGTGGATGAGAAATTTCGCGGAACAAAGGAATACATGGACAACGAATCCGATATGAACGACGAGTGGACTGCTAGCCACGAGGAGGCGATGAAGACGGGAGACGTCGAGAACACGGAGGGGCTTGCTGAGGACGGGGAGAAGGTTTCGGTGTTGCGAGACCGTATCGCCGAGATAGAGGCTGCATATCCAGCCCTTGAGCAAGAACGCGGGACCGACGCCGATTTCAAGCGTGCTAAGCTCGCGGAAAAGATTCAAGAGACGATCGGAGAGCTCGACGAGGAGATCAAGGCGCGCAAACTGCGAATCATCGACCGCAAAGAAGCCATGGAGATTGCTCTCAGCACGAGGTAACTACGGTCTTCAATCTCCTGCCGTCTTCTTGCTGAATCATTCCGAGCAGTAAAATAAATTACTTTGATCCACGGTAAGATCGCTGCTCAGCGCCTATGTATATCTCTGGCTGATCCTTGGTATGCCCAGGATCACCATTGCGTGGTGCAAGATACGTGATGTACCTGTCGAGAAAGTTTTCAGCCAGTCATTGCGCCTCAAATGTGTGTCATGTCAGCGCATACAGTACCTGCGACTCATGTTTTGCAACAGTTGCGTGGGCATTGGAGGTGGAGGGCGACTGGAAGTTTTAGGTCCTAGATGGCGGAGAAGTATGCAAATAATTTTATTTGTTTCATGCGGACCTTCTGCGGACATGAAGGTGACCGCACCTGTCCGCGCCAGATCTGTATCGACTTGCAAGTGACCTGGCTCACGACACTCTACGGCGATGGTGCGGGTGAGTGTGGAAAAGAAAGTCGGATTGTGCGCGGTTTCCATATATTTTTGGAATGGTGGCGTCGCGGTGAGTATGGTCGCCCATCGCTGCCAATGAACAGGAAGCTTTGCTATTGTAAGCTGACTTACAACATATAGCGCGCAACCGCCACATATTAGACACACGTACGGGCAACGCGCACGGGGCTGGACAATACGGTCAGGAAACGGCGATCCTGAGAAATCCTTATCTTAGCTTTTCAAGAAGGGCAGCAGACCTTCCACCACATAAATAAACCTGTGGATGGGCCCCGTTACTCCCTCGCTCTCTTACATGGCAATTACAGTGTCTCCTCTCCAGGCCGAGGCCAACCGCCTTCGTCTCGAACTGCAAACGCTTCAAGCCGAAAATGCCGCCGAACCCATCGAAATCGGAAATTACCTTTTAGCTCGGCTTGAGCAGTTGAAAGTCACGGTAGGTTTATGACCCTCGCTTAAATCTCACCGCGAACGTCGTACTTACTTTTTCCAGAAAATGTTTGGTGTGCCCGGCGATTTCAATCTTGGGTTCTTGGTATGATGACGTTTGTACATGTTGGTTGAATTTTTGGCCGATACAACTCCTGTCCTCCTGCTGCTAGGATTTGGTCGAGGACTATCCCACAATTGACTGGGTTGGAAACTGGTATGTCACCCGCTTAGGTGTGACCTAAAGCTGAGTTAAACCGTGTAGCAATGAGCTCAATGCTGCATATGCCGCCGATGGTTATGCGCGCGTGAAAGAGCACAGTATCGGTGTTGTTTTAACAACGTACGTGGAGCCTCTTTCGTCCACAACGCCGAGTATTGAATTTCTCTAGTTTTGGTGTCGGCGAACTCTCTGCGATGAATGGCATTGCGGGCGCATTCTCCGAGATGGTGCCTGTGTTGCATCTCGTTGGCGTTCCGAGTACAGTTCAACAGGGGACCAAGGCTGTTCTCCACCACACCCTAAGCGACGGGAGGCGCGTATAGCGTATGGCTGCGATGTCGTTATTGACCCTTGGTATAGATTCGATGCTTATTTAAAGGCTGCCGAGAATATCACCATCTCGCAAGGCCTCGTTACCGACAAAGAGACCGCGGCTTCAACCATCGACCGCGTGCTAACAGACTGCATTACGAAGGTCAGTTATTTTCCTCTTCTTCCCCGGCATCCACATTTACGAGAAGTTGACTTTCAGGCGCGGCCGGTCTACCTCACACTCCCGACGAACATGGTGTTCGAAAAAATCTCGTCTGAAAGGCTCAAAATCCCGCTCTCGCCTGCCTGGCCGTTAAACGATCCCGACATCGAATCCTTCGTTGTGGAAGAGATTATGAAACTGGCGACTACCGCTCAGGACGACATGGTCATCCTGGTCGACGCGTGCGTGATCAGACACGGGGTACGAGACGAAGTGAACGATCTCATCGAGAAAACCGGATTTCCGGTGTATGCGGCACCGATGGGCAAGACGGCTGTCTCGGAAACATACGAGCGTTATGGAGGGGCAAGTTGTTCGAGTTCTTTGCCCTGACTTACATACTGAAGCATCACACAGATATATGTCGGATCCGTTAGCCATCCCGATGTGAAGGAGAAGATTGAATCTGCGAAGCTTATTCTCTCTATCGGTTCCGTCAAGAGTGATTTCAACACCGCAAACTTCTCCAACCGCTCAATTCCATCGCGCACCGTCGAGGTATGCATTTTCCTTCATCCGGAACTCTACGGCACAGCGATTCAACTCCTTGTCCAGCTCCACTCGGATCACACCAAGGTACAACATGCCGTTTTCCCGGCCATCGGTATGAAACAGCTCTTGCCTCGCCTCACAGCGCGGCTGGAAGCCTGCAGCGCCGCCGCGCGCAAAATTCCCATCCCGGACCCACGTGCAGTTGTTCCCAAAGAGGACAACGAAATAATAACCCACACCTGGATTTGGCCGAGGATGGGTAATTTTTTCAAGCCGAAAGATGTTATCGTTGCCGAAACAGGTTAGTCTCATCGTAGTTTTCAAGGGGTATAACTCATGCGTCGCAGGCACATCCTACTTTGGCATCCTCGATATCCCCTTGCCTGAGAAATCCATCCTTCTGAGTCAGATGCTGTGGGGCTCGATTGGATGGACCGTTGGCAGTACGCTCGGTGCGGCGTTCGCCGTCCAGGAGACGGGGCTCAACCGGACCATTCTGTTCATCGGGGATGGGAGCCTGCAGCTGACTGTTCAAGAACTCTCCGTAATGCTGCGCCATGGTCTCAAGCCCATAATCTTCGTGATAAACAACGGGGGCTACGAAATCGAACGGTGCATCCGTGGTCGGCATCGCAAATACAACGACATTTCGAATTGGAAGTGGACGGGGTTGTTGGGCGTTTTCGGGGACCCCTCTCTTTCCCAATCGTACACTGTCCATACCAAGACCGAGCTGTCCGTGCTCCTCGACTCAGCCTCCTTTGCGGAAGCTGGGAAGATCCAGCTTGTGGAGATCATGATGCAGACGCACGACGCGCCACGAGCTTTGAAGCTTCAGTCATCAGCATGAGTTGCTAGCGGCTCGTATATACACACACTTCTCGTTTCTTGGTTCTAAATCCCATTGATTGCTCTGCTGTAACAGTAATTTGCACTTCTTCGTTTGTGAATGGATCGGTATTATTAGCTCGGATGAAGCAGGCTCGGCTTACCAGACTTGGTTGCATTTTCTGTTCGCACTCCAATTTTTAAACAGAGGGTCAATGTGCATTGGTACTGCCTTTCATAACCCTTCCTGCACTCTCTCCTGGTGTCAGAAAATTGGTGAACGAGTTGAACCAAAAAGAAGTGGTTCAAAAACAGCTGAAGGGCAGTAGTACCTTGAGTCGAACAAGGTCCTCAGGATTATAACATTGGTCCAGTAGTGAGCGGACAATCTAAGAAAATCTTGTGTGCGGTCATACACCATACTGCTTTCTCTACTGCGTTTGAGGTTAAGGTGGGCCGAAGGGGTCACAGAGAAAAATAGCCGCGTTCGGCATTTGGAGAGCAGTACCTTGAGTTGAACAAGGGTCCTCAGGATTATACTGCTGCAAATACAAAGAATCAAGGAAATCCCGCGTGTGGCCATACACCATACTGCCTTTATGGTGTGCTTGTGGGTAGGGTAGGTGGATGAGGAAATTCAGTCGTCATCCCTGCTTCCTACTACCGTTTGTGTTGTTTTAAATATTTTTCCCCTGCGAACTGGAGCCCTTCGAATTTCACGAGTGAATGAGAATATCCTTTTGCTTACAGCTGCGCTCTTCTCGGAGTCGTAGGGTTCTACATGGCGCGCAAATTGTGTGCGTCCCGTGCGAACGCCGAATTCAACCCAACTGCCAAATGGAGAAGAAACGGAAATGCCGTAACTGTTGACGCACACCACTCTGTTGTCTGCCGACACACCACCAACTCGCCTGTGGCCCTCTTGCACCAAGGAGAAGGAATACAACGCGTACGAAGAAATAATAGCCAAAGACCACGAAGAACGAGTGGACGAATAGAGAAGAATGAAGGATGAAGAGAGGCAGACGAAGAGATGCGTTTGTGCACGCTCGAAACCCAGTGGCACGACGCCAGGCCCATCTCGTCCTGGGACTTTCAGCTCGTGTCTTTCAAGAAGGCGCGCCCTGCGTCTTCCACCCCCTGAGCTCCATCCCCGGGCCCTGGTGCGCTTTCCCTCTTTTCCAGCTTTTTCCGCGTCGTTTTCTAACCATTTCCCAGGTACGCTGCCGTGTGGATCACCTCGCATGTTCTCCGCCTCGAAAAATGCAACACCATCCATGCCCTCTTTCGGACCTATGGTCGTGAACATGCCCCAACAAAGTCGTCTTTTGCGATCTCGGCGCGGTGAACACTGAAGAGCGTATATTAGGCCTGAAAGTTCTATAAGAGCGACTACTGACGTCAGTCGCGCGCCATTTTCTCGTCCTCGTATCGTCTGTCTCACTCGTTTTCTTCATTAGGAATGACAACGACCATGTGTGAGTCTTTTTACGCGCTCATCCCTTCCCTTCGACGCGTCATATTCTACCTCCCGTCCCTCTCGCATCTTCCCTTCATTCTGAACACCGAGCTTACAGGACGACTACCCTTCCTCACGCGCAACACTCCATCCGCCGCAAGGCCTACGCCTCCCACCTCACACGGCGCCAGTGGCAGCGAGCGACCGACTCAAGCAGAGACATAGTATTATTAGGTATGACTTTTGGTCCACTATCTAGACGACAGGACGAACTCGGTAGTACTCTAGGTGGGATAAGTCCAAACGGCTTTCAGACCCTACAATCGCCGACAAATGCCGGCCGTACCGGGTACTACAAGGGCAGACAAATGCCAGCCGTACTGCAACTGTACAATGGTAGACAAATGTCGGCCGTACAGGAAGATTCCAGATGAGACAGAATAGACTGTAATAGTCAAGGCGAGTTTTCAGGCGGGTTGTAGCTGCGCCTCGAGCTCGCGTATGCGCGCCTTTGTCTTGCGGACGTTGACGTTTTTCCCCCCACGTGATAGGAGCGTCTTGGCGCCCCGGAGCTCGGCGGCGCAGTATGCGCGCCGTACGGCGGTGATGGAGTCGGAGTCCGTGGTGTCGGCAGGGATGGAGTCGGAGTCCGTAGTGTCAGCCGCTCCTTCAGCGGGCGGCGCGTCGGGGGAAACAGTGTCCTTCTGCGTCCTCGGTGTGTCCGTCTGCATCCTCGGTGTGTCCGGCCGCTTCGGAAGCTTCTCCAGTGTGTACCACCCCTGATTGATGCGTATAGGCCGGGCAGCTCGCCGCCCCGAGTAGTAATAGAAGGCGGCAATAGCAACGACGAGCGCAATAAAAATGAGTCCGCTGGACTTGTCGTTGTCTCTGGCGGGAACGATTAGCAGCGCTGTGGAAGGTAGGCATGTAACGCACTGGTCGTAACGGCGGTAGGCGCCGCGACTGGAGGAAACAAGTGTGAGCCACTAGTGTGCACAATACGCAAACACGACAGACCTGGATGCTCTGGAGCGCATGTGTTGGTAGTTGTGCTGCTCACAAGTCATGGGGGATAACAGGATGGAGGAGGCTCGAGTCAAGATACTGCGGGATGATTTGGTGAGGGCATCAGGCACGGTCCGATTTTTTTTTGACCGCCGCTTTCGTACAGATCTTCCCCGTTCCACGGAACATCATACTAAGCGCTTCACATTCTCACCACAAGCGCTGAGCGCTTAGGGCGTTCAAGCTCGCTCCCCTGGTACGACCGTACGAATAGATGCCGCTCATGGCCGGCCTCCCTGGGCGCATTCAATTCGGTCTAGTTGTCCTTGCAACCAGGTCGCATACGTGTGCCTGTGGTTGTGCTTCAGAGTACACCACCGCGTATTAAAGGGCAGTGCAAAGGCGGGAGATGTCTGATGTATCGGGAGAAGACGCGAAGACAAGTGCTGCAGCGGGATCGGTATGTAATGCAACGTTCCAATGAAAACGTGTCGGCGACCTCAGAATCAGCGCGTGCATCGGACTGGGAAGCGGCAGCACGGTATGTTTGTCACCGCGTGCAGGTCTTCATATATATTTTAAATGGGTGCGTCCCACGGAGGCAGTGAGTGTTATATTGCATTGGCAGATAGGCGCCTAGTATCTAGGGCTTCACATTGCTCTGCGTTGGGTACATCGTGATACCAGTGCACTGTACTACCGCAAACTTGAAGTGAGAAGATAGATCAAAGTAGGCAAGACGACTCGACCGTACAAAGGGTCGGGAGATTAAATGACATCGGTAAGACTGGTTTTCAAATGGTATTGAATAATCAATCAGATATTCATGCCCGTTGATGTATGGGCGACTAAAAATTAGGATTTTACTCGGGACTCAGGTTTGGACTGCATCTAATCTTGAGACCTCTTGGATTGAACTGAAGTTAAACATGTTTGATTTATTGAAGAGATGACGGAGAGATGAGTACTAATGAGGGTGATTAGGAACCTAAGTTGCGTCGAACTTCAAATTCAAGTCCATCAACGCGGGACTTGAGTTGGGGAATGAATAGACTCGAGTTCGTTGCGGCACTTAGGCTCTGTGAAGGGCGGCTCAAGTTCCGTGCTAGTGGGGTGCATTGAATGGGAGTATTTCGTACCTCACTCTAGACCGGGCACTTCAAGTTGGCAAAGTACTAGTACTGCGGCAGCTCAACTCGAAACTCACGAGTACTCATAGAGTTGACGCGACAACTGAACTTACCTCGGCCTTGGCGCACTCACCACGATGTTCTCTTGACATTCCTCTTCACCTTCCTGTGAATACAAATGAGACGAAGCACCAACAACAAAGCCACAAATCAAAATCTTACCTGGGTGTTTTGTGCGGTCTTCAAGTCCGCCCCGCCATGCAGCTACTGTGGAAGAGCGGGACATGGCTCAAGATATTCCCGATAAGGTTGGAAAATCCTGCTTACTCGGCGACCCAGGTGTGATTCGTGCAGTTTTTCTACGCGGTAAAGTTGGCGGATTGCGCGTTGGCGTCAAGGTCCGGTCCAGTTGGTTTGGATGTCGAGGAGGGCGGTGAGGAGCCGTCGTGAGTAGTCTAGAATAAAATGAACGAGGAACGGAGACAAGATGCCCGCGTCGCTCATAGTCATTGCCAATGCGCGAGGCACAAAGGGACTGCATGGGCTTAGCAACTTTTCGACACATTTGGAGACAGTTTCTGCTTTGTCCAGCCACGAGAACATGTGAAGGCGGTGGCGGTTTTGGTTGTGACATCGCGTGAGGTCGTGGAGCGACATGGCGGCATAAGTACCAGAATCTACCAGAATGGCACTAGACAAAACCGAAGAGTCCGAAACGGGTGGATTTAAAGTGCTCGAGAACAAATTAAGAGACAGGACAAGAGAGATCTTGGACCAAGTTGAAAAGCTGGAGAAATGTGAAGGGAAGAGTGAGGGCAGTCGCGCAGTGAAGTCAAGGTCAAGTCAAGGTTAACGTTGAGCCAAGTCGAGTTCGGCCATCACCCCGGTGACTAAACGGTCGACGGCCCGTATCATCCGTCTTTTCGCTCTTCACCGACCATGTCTGACTCTTTCGCTGACATGTTATCTCAGATTATCTCTTTGCAGCGCAGCGCCGTCCGACCTGGACATGGAGACTTGTCGAGAAGATCCCCGTAGCTCGGCTCAAGCTCCTGTGCGACTCTGACGTCTACGAAATGCGCGCCCAGTTAAATACCGGCAACGCCCCCGCTGCCCCCGTCCCCGCGCCGAACGTCGTGGCACCCACCCCATCGCACTTCCTCTCGGCCTTCCCCAGCGTCAGCCACTCATCTTCGCGCTTCGTCGCCGGTGCCGTCCTGCTCCTGCGAGGACTCGTTCTTTTCCGAAGGCACCGAGAAGTCGTGCATGCTGCCGCGTCTCCTCGCCTACAAGTACCCCAATGGCAGGACGATGCCCGAGAGCCACGTTATTTCGGAATGCATGTGCCGTATGTACGTCCTTTGCTGCATGCTCACCACTCGCGATAGGGTTACCGGCACGGACACGACTTCAATCTCGCTCTCGTAGTTCATCTGGGAGCTTGCGCGCCGCCACGGCATCCTCAGAATGAAATCGACGCTGTCATGCCCGACCCGAGCGCCGTACCCGAACGCCTTTATCAAGGCGGGGCAGGGTCAGTCCCCCTTCCTTCCTTCCTTCACTTCCCACGCGATCCTCGCTAACGCCATATCAGGTCTCCGTCTGTACGGCGGCCGAGCGCGTCGTCCCTGTATCCACAGTCAAAATCTTCGCCGGCGCAGAAGATGGGCACACGCTCCCGCCCAGCACGCGCGATTGTCTGCACACAGGCCTGGTCCGTGCACTGCGACCCCGTCGTCTTCCGCTCGCCCAAGACCGAGACGTTCCTCCGCGAGCGCTGGCTGCCCTCGTGCGCCGCCAGGTCCAAGGAGGACAGCGGCGAGGCGTCGGAGACGGAGGCGGCGCGCCTGGCGCGGATGGTGATGCCCTTCGGGACGGGCCTGCGCATCTGCGGCGGTGTGAACCTCGCAGATGCACATCATCATGCTCGTCGTGCTCGTCGCTGTGCTGCGCAGCTTTGAGATCGAGGTCGGCCCTGGCCTGGGAAGCATGGATACGAGGG